TTAATCTACATATATATATATATATATATATATATATATATATATATATATATATATATATAAATGTGGGATGGAACGCAGCTTAATGAAGTGATCTGGAAGGAACGGAACGAGTGACGAATGAGTAAAAGAATGATAGTGAGTGAGTAAGTGAGAATGATAAAAAAGCAAGATGGAGGAAAGGACGCGCACGCAAAATTAGTTAAATTTAATAAAGAGTGTTTTCAAGGTATTTCTGGTTTTATTGCACGGTCGACACTACATTTTTGGGGGCTTGTTGTCATGCAAAACTTGCTTGACGTATTGGAGCTCGACAGCCAGGTGTTTACTGTCACAGATCCCTCGTGCTCTATGAAACAAAGATTTACCCACGGTAGCTAACTGTGAAGGATGGTGGTGAGAATCACCGTTTAAATATCTATCTGTATGGGTCTTTTTTTCTATACACAGTATGGCTCAAGGTGTTATCTCAGTAATTTATTCCCGCAAAAGAGTTTTGCCTGAAATCCAGGTTCGCCTTTTTAATTATCGGCTCGTAAATATTCAGCAAGTAAAAATTCTGTTTACGCCCGATTGTTACAAGCTGCAGCTTGCGGGAGGTGCGGGCTTGCTGTGCGCGTACGGCGCTGCAAGCGCCCCAGTCGGCCGGAATCTTTTAGCGGTGGTCTCACACGCGCCGGTGGGGTTCACGAGATTAGCCTAGAACATTTAATTTGCGCGACGACCGGGTCGATTTAGAGGTCGCGAGTTTTGATATAATTGTTGCGTCACCTATAGACGGCCTCCATGGTGTTGTATTTTGTCGTTAATATACGTGACAACGAGCTATAACGTGAGCCGTGGTAGCTCAGTGGTTAACGCTCGCTGTAAATATAACAGAACGCGAGTAACCCGGGTTCGATCCCCGCCGGCACCAATGAAATTGTTAATTGCAATTTTAAGTGCTGATTTACCACGTGCTCGGCGGTGAAGGAAAACATCGTGAGGAAACCTGCATGTCTGAGGAATAAGAAAAAAAAATATTTCGAAGACATGTGAAGTTCGTCAACACGCATTTGGGCAGCGCGGCGGACACTTCCTTGCCCTAAACCCTCTCAGAAATGAGGGGAGGCCTGAGCCCAGCAGTGGGACGTATATAGGCTGTAACTTTACTTTTTACTTTATACATGACAACGAGGCTTATCCTTGAGTTTTATTTGCCCGACGCCCGGGTCGATTATACGTCGCGAGCCTCTTACAGTGTTATCTTAATTTGTTTTCGTGATAACGAGGCCGGAATCATATAATTATTGTTGTAACCGTTTTAAGTATTGTTTGTGACTGGTATACGGTTGCGGGCGGCCGGTGTTTGGATTTGGAGGCCTAAAATTTGGGTTAATTGTGCCCGCCATTTTGAATTACTATTGAACACTTGGGTCTAATTAGACCGCCTCGAATTTAGTTGTCTGTTTTGAACAAGTTGCGTGACAAGAGGCCTAATTTGAATTTGCAGTTAATTAAATGTACAATAAAGTTGATAAATTAACATAGTGAGAATAGAAGCAGAACCTTTCAAATGGTGAACGCCCCCCTGGAGGGATCTCACATTTGGAGAGAAGCAGCGCCTTTGGATCGGCAGTCCTGGATCAGCGGGGCTGTCAGGTTACACAGTGTACACACTACTACACACTACTTACATGCACATCACTTCCCACCTGACAGGTACCTCGTGGTCAACCCTACCTCCGCCAATCGGTAAGTGGTGCTTGCTTCTTTGTCAGCCGTTTTTGGAATCGTTATCCATAGGCCATTTGGAGGCCCTCCCCTCTGTTACTCGTCGAGTTGGATTACGATGGGCCCTAATTCAATCGACATTCGTCGGGGTAACTCAGGGCCGTAACAAATTCCTTGGTGTAATTCTTGATAATAAATTATCCGGCATGCTTCATATCATTTATCACAAAAAAAAAATGCGAAAAAAATATAAACATTCTAAGAGCTATGTGCGGGGTATGGTGCGGTGCTCATCCATATTCTTTAAAATTAATTTATAATGCAATTATAAGAAGTCGATTAGATTATGCCTCATTTCTTCTTGAACCCGCTACTAAAAAAGGTTTAAAAATATTAGATATCATTCAACACAAGTCTTTAAGATTAATTATAGGTGCTATGAATTCGTCGCCTATCAATGCCTTGCAGATTGAATGCGGTGATCCTCCACTTTTTATTAGACGACAATATTTATCTGATTCATTTTTTTATCGGGTTCTTCAATTTTCCAACCATCCACTAATTCCTAAAATTCGTTTGTTTCTCAGTACATTTCAATTAATCCAGGAAAATACTGGCGTAATAAAGAAACACCTAACCTAGTTAAAAGCTATGCACAATATAATTCCTTACTAGATCCTATTTATAGGTCGGTGACTCTGCCTCTTTTCTCCAATTCGTTTGAAGTTGCACTTTTCAAACCCAATGTTATATAAGATATAGGATTAAATAAATTTTCTATTGATCAAATAAAAAATAATCAAATAATCCGAATACGTTGGACAAGAATTTCCCAGATTGTCATTATATTTTTACAGATGCTTCTAAGATTAACTCAAAAGGTTGTACTGGCTACGCAATATACCATCTGTTACGGCCCTCAGTTGCCCCAACAAAAGTCGACTGGACTAGGGCCCATCAGTAATCCAACTCGACGAGCAACCGAGGGTGCGGGCCCAAATGACCTATGGATAGTTAATTTATAAGGGCTGGATAAACAAACACAAACTTACCGAGTTCCGGAGGTAGGGTCGACCACAAGGTGCCGTCAGGGGCAAGTAAATGGTATGTGTGAGTGGTGTAGGAAGGTGTGTAATGTAACCTGACGTCACCGATGTAACCGGATAGCAGAACCATATGCGTTGCCCAGCTCCACAAGGGGCAATCACTCCAGAGGGCGTTTGATGTTATCGGAACTCAATTCCAATGTCACTTAGGACAATTATAATCGAAGAGAACGTAATCTCCTCCCGGATCACAAAGTTTAGCGTTCAACCGACAAAGCAAAATTCCTTCGTACGATATTAAAATACTACCAAGCCACACGTCGACGCAAATTAATGGCAATCGAAGTTACATTAATAACTCAAACTCAAAAAAAGCCTCGTTGCCACGCACACGTACAAAATAAGAAAACACAAAGGAGGCCGTCGTAATGCGACGTAACGATTCTTACGTAACCCCGACCTCTAATCGACACGGCCGTCGCGTACAATCGAATATTCTAGACTCATAGGCGCAGCCGCAGGCCGCACAAGAATCCCCCCCGCACACCGTAAACCGGTTCCCCGCCCGAGACAAGCGTTTTGCAAGTTTTTAAAGTCGTTACGAATTGGCGTAAACACCATCAAAATTGGAGAATAGATCAAAAAATGAAAAGTCCCCCCGAATCTTCAGTTTTTACTGGAGAAATGTTAGCCATTTTAAAATCAATAAAATATGGCTATCTTTTTAAATAAAAGTCAAGCGTGATATTTTCACATTCTCTTAGTTCTTTACAGGCATTGTTATGCAATCCTTTCTATGACATTTCCTGCAATCCTTTGATATTTGGAATTAAGAAACTTCTAATCTTATACCAATTCCAAAACATCAACATTTCTCTTGTTTGGATTCCGAAACATATTGGTATATCTGGTAATGAATACGCTAACAAACTTGCTAAATAAGTTATAGGCTGTGGGGATACTTTCTTATTTAAAAATTATTGCTATTACTTTATAAGAACTACGAAATTATTATATAGAGATAGAGAGAGAAGGCTGTCACTATGCTAAAATTCAACCCATTATTCCTTCTAAGCTTTGGTTTTATAAATTATCTTTAAATAAGAAACATACATCAATTTTATGTAGAATGCGCTTGGGTCACTGCTTTAATTCGGTTCACCTTGCTAGGCTTCATATTAAAAATTCTTCAATATGTGAATGTGGTTTGGACATTGGTGACCTCAACCTCATATTTTCTTCTCGTGTCCTTTATATAATCATACTTCATTATTTAACAATTTGGTAAATCTTAAAATTCCTCTACCTACAGAAATTCGTTCTATTTTAATTTTTTTCAAAAAAAAGTAAAAGTGTTTTCAATTTTCTTATGGAATTTTTAGATTTAAATAATATTAAGTTATAAAATTTTAGTCATTATTTAGCAATCAATCGTCTTTATTTAGTATTATTTATTATTTTAAATGTGGTATTGAGTTTAGTATTATTTTAATTCAATATGACATCCATCATTAATTTAATAAACTTCAGTACAAGTTACTTCATGATTCATTATTTAGTTCGTAACATTATGATTTCGGTTTTTAACACTTAAATGCATGATTTTTTAATTTTATTTGAAAAATATATCTGAGGGTATGTAAATTAATGGAAAAATAATTAAAAAATATTTGAGAAAATTCAGTCCATGTTTTACTAGTTTTTGATTCTGTAGGATGCAGCCTAAGAAGCTTTATGCAGGAAAATTTACTTAAAATTAGAAAGACAAAATGTATGAATTAAACTTATTTATTATGATATTCTCTAAAACAGTTATTTCTTTTATTTTAACCCTTAAAGCGGCAAAGCACTAATAAAACATTATTTTTTGTTAAAAAGTCTATATTTATGTATTGTTAGGGATGTAATTAAATATAAAATAAAATGAAAAAACATTTATTTAGAAGTTTTTTTTAACGTCCCATAAAACGGACAGCACTGCATACGTAAAAAATCTGCTCTTTTATTTAGCGTCCTAGAAAACGGACAGTGCTGGATACTGTAAAAATTAAAAACTTTGACATATTAAATAACAATTCGATTTATAAATATACAAAAACGTGGGTTTAATAAAACAATCAAATTGGCAAAAAGTATTTTCAGTTAAAAAAAGTCTTAAGCAATTAAACAGTAATTAATTAATTATTTTTGTGTATGAAATTGCAAAAAACATTTCTTTTTTTGAGTCAGGCACAATCTTACATCGCATTTCAGGCATTTTATCACTGTTTTCCCTTTAGTACAAAGACGGCACCGTCCTTGTGTATCGATATCGGGTAGATGGTTGATCCCATCTAACCGCATCTCTGGTGGCGGCCTCGGAACTATAGGTTTAGTGATTTCAGCTGAAATTTCTGAATCTATTACAATTTTTATACGCGTGTCTGATTTTATTAGTGCATCTGCAATTTGGATTCGAAACCTTTTCAATGGTATAGAATTATCACCCATTTCCTGCATTTCACGTTTGTACACAAGCCATGCATTATTCAGAGAAATGTCGATGAGGTGGCTGAAAATGTTCATATACCATTTCTTGCTTTTCAGAGCAACCCTATATAAAGAAATCAACATATCGGCTTTATCTACCCCACCCATTTTTTTGTTGTACTCCTTGATAATGTGTGGACATGAAACAGGCCGCTTTTCGCGCACATCTTTATTATATCGTAAAATGCTGGTAACAGGCTCTTCTCCACAATATGAACTCGCTAAATTTACACAGTCATTGTCCACCCACTTCACAATTGATAGCTTATTTTTATTATCTGAAATCATTACATAGCTTCCTCTACCTTTTTTCTTCAGCACTATATCTTCGATAATATTCTGCCCTCTAAGTCTGTCCTTCCTTATGGTCCCCAAAGAAAGAATTCCATATTCATTTCTTAGATGATATATTAGCTCCAGAGACGTGAACCAGTTGTCAAAATAAACAGTTGATAAAGGTTTATCCTTTATAGTTTTACATAGCTTTATAACTGTTCTCCCGCCAATGCCGAGATAATTATTTTCCCACTCTGTAAAATCAGCACGGTCAAAACTGTTGCCACCATCGTATGCAAAAAAAGTCATATACTATCCCGGAATTCCCAGCTCGAACAAAAAAATTTAAAATCCCATTTTGTGGGTTTTTTCGGCATATATTGACGCCGAAATCCAGCCTTTTTACCTTTATACGGCACCATCATCTCGTCTATGGAATATGACTTTTCCTCTTCAATCGCCAAACAATTTAGCCGTAAGTGCTCCATCACGGGCCTAATTTTAAAATAACGATCTACATGATCATCCTCCGCATTATTACTAAAGTGTAAGTTTCCTCTTATATTCTCGTATTTTTTGAGAGATATAACGTCTGCGATAGGAGCAAAACGAGTACCTTGTGCCCAATAATCAGCATATGCTGGCATGCTTACTATTCCCATTAAAATTTCAATACCGACAAAGGATTTTATGTCTTTGACTGTTAGATTTATTGACTTGCCTTGTTTTTGCATAGAGTATAAATTGGTCATTTCGACGATGTGGTTCCATAAATCCTCATTCCAAAGCTTCTTGAAATAATCGAATGATGTTTTATCCGTATAATCTATAGAAGGGTGAAATTCTGAATCTATGTGTACCTGACTTCTGAATTTTTGGCGTTTGAACTCGAATTCCATCTGTTCTAGTTTTTTTCGTTTATTTCTGACTTGGTTGGATGTAGAAGGAACTGCATCATTTGCATTTCTTATGTTTCTTGTGCGTCGTGTTGAAATACCCAGTGGTGTTACTAGGGATGGTATTGTTACGAGCTTGAGGTTCGTGACAATAAAAATTGCCGATAAAATTACCTAAATTAACACTTTAATTTACTTTATACAAATTAAAGTTAAAAACACTAATAATTAAACACACTTATTCACTTTATTCCGCTCCGAAGCTTCGCTTGTTACGCCAAATCAATGGATGAAAAAAATGGATCGAAGATGGCCCGTTTCCCCACAGCCATAGCACCTAGGGCTGTATCCTTTGCTGCGGTCACGGACTGTAGCTGCTGCAACCTCCCTGAAGCGATGGGAACGATGATCCTGCCGCACGGCTTCCACCTCCAGTGCATGGGCCAAGGCGTTCTTAAGCGTCTCGTGGTGCCCGAGCCTCACAGCAGCTCTGACTTCCAGGTCACGGATGCCGTCGATGAATGTCTGCACCAGGTTCCCTTCAATGAGCGCAGGTACAGACCGGTATGCTTTTCGCACCAGCTTCTCCACCTCTAGAGCCCACTGCTGCAGGTTTTCGTTGATGCGCTGCACACGATCTTTAAGCTGCGCACGAAAGACGTGTTCCAGGTGAGCGTCGCCATATCTCGCCTCCAATGCCTCAAGGAGTTGCTCATAAGTCACTTCCTCACCGAGAGCTTCCAGAACTGTTAAGGCCTGGTCGCGCAGGCCTAGTGTGAGAGCAGTCATGGCCTGACTTTTATTCCAGCCGTTCGCCTTCATAACAGCCTCGAACTGGATTTTGTAGGCTGACCAGGAAGAGGTACCGTCGAACGGTGGCACCTTGAACCCACGTAGCGAAGGTGTTGTAGCTACTACGGGAGCTGTAGCTCCATCTCCAAGTTTGAGTTCGTCCAGTGATTTCTTCATGTCAGCCATTACGTTGTCAACCTGATTGTTTACTTGGTCGATTTGGGTTTTAGCTTCCTTGATTTGGGTTTCAGCTTCCGACAGGCGGTTGTCGTGTTGAGCAACCTTATCCTTCACCTCCTTTATCTCTTTCCCAAAGGTAGCATGAAGGTCCTTAATGAGGAGCATCTGCTCTTCCGACCGACGGGCCTGTTCCTCCTGTCGGCGAGCCTGCTCCTCTTGTCCGCCCTGCAGCTGCTCTTTCAACTGACGGACCTGTTCCTCCTGTCGGCGAGCCTGTTCCTCCTGTCGGCGAACCTGTTCCTGCAGCATCACCATCAGAGCACCTAAGTCAGGTGCTGCAGATGTAGGAGCTACCGACGGGCCTTCAGCCGGTGGCTGGCCCTCCGACGTCTGCGGCGTTGCACCACCAAATCTTCGTTGGTCCGTCTCCTGCTGGCGTTGACTTCGGGTACGGACACCCTCGGTTTCCTCCTTAGGTAAAATCGGTATGATTTTATCCCACTTCTGACACCAACTGTTACGAGCTTGAGGTTCATGACAAAATTGCCGATAAAATTACCTAAATTAACACTTTAATTTACTTTACACAAATTAAAGTTAAAAACACTAATAATTAAACACACTTATTCACTTTATTCCGCTCCGAAGCTTCGCTTGTTTCGCCAAATCAACACTACTCCGATCGCATCTTGCAGCGCCTATATATTTAAATTGGCAAAGAAATATCCAGAATGTTCAAGTAAACACGCGCAAGGTACCGAGCGTTCGAGTTTCGACTAGGCGCTGTCGGTTGAGTGATTTGTGATGTCATTTTCTCAATGCTCCCCTCGCTCTCGTTCCTGACACTAGATGGCGCTAGTGTATCGTCGATTTGAGCGCGTAACACAGCCCCCTCCTAAGACATGCTCGTCCCGAGCATTATCGGCCCCATAATAACGCGCTAGGCGATCCACATGGACGATCTTAGGAGTCCCTCTTGCGCCTTTCTGTAACGGCTCCGCAATGTCAAGGGCTGTTCTATCCCGTGGTGCACCAACATTGTACAATTTCGGTGCTCCTCTACTACGTGTCTGAGGTCCCCGCACGGCCGCACAACTTGTACATGTACGACACCAATCCTCCACATCGTCACGATAATGGACCCAGTAAAACTGTTCTCGGACCTTCAGTAGAGTTCGTTTAACTCCCAGATGGACTCTTGAACGACCATTATGGCACAGCTGTAGAACATTCGGCACTTTAGCTTTAGGGACAACCATTTGCAAACGACAGCTGTCACTTCGACCATTGTCCCATTTACGGCACAGGACTCCATCCTGAATCAGCAAGCTGTCCCATTGGGCCCAATAGCTTTTCGTGGTTGAACTCATCGCTGAGACGTCCCTCCACTTAGGCTTGGTAGCACGGGCCTTCATCCATCCCAGAATCGGCTTGATGTCCGGATCTTCCTGCTGTGCATGTCGTAGGCTGTCCTTCCACCCGTTGCTGAGGTGGTCTGTCCTTAGCATCCTCACGGATACCACTTCCTTACTCTCTTGCCTACTACAATGGTTGCAATCTTCAGGACAAGGTCTTCTTGTCAATGCATCTGCGTTGCCGTGAGATTTCCCGCTGCAGTGTCTGATAGTAAAGTCGTATTCCTGCTGCTACTGGGCGGTGCTGTTAGCCGCACTTCCTTTCTGAGACCGTTCACCTCCCCTTCCTAGGGTGTGCTTAGGGCAGCTGGACCGAAGATGGCCCCTTTCCCCACAGGCATAGAACCTAGGGCTGTATCTTTTATTGTGGTCGCGAACCGTAACTGCTATAACCTCCCTAGCGTGAGGTGAACGATGATCCTGTCGCCGCCAGGCAGTGCCGTTAGCTGTACTACCCTCTCGAGATCGATCAACTCTCCTTTCCACGGTTAGTTTAGGGCAGCTGGATCGAAGATGGCCCTTTTCCCCGCAGCCATAGCACCTAGGGCTGTATCCTTTGCTGCGGTCACGGACTGTAGCTGCTGCAACCTCCCTGAAGCGATGGGAACGATGATCCTGCCGCACGGCTTCCACCTCCCGTGCATGGGCCAAGGCGTTCTTAAGCGTCTCGTGGTGCCCGAGCCTCACAGCAGCTCTGACTTCCAGGTCACGGATGCCGTCGATGAATGTCTGCACCAGGTTCCCTTCAATGAGCGCAGGTACAGACCGGTATGCTTTTCGCACCAGCTTCTCCACCTCTAGAGCCCACTGCTGCAGGTTTTCGTTGATGCGCTGCACACGCTCTTTAAGCTGCGCACGAAAGACGTGTTCCAGGTGAACGTCGCCATATCTCGCCTCCAATGCCTCAAGGAGTTGCTCATAAGTCACTTCCTCACCGAGAGCTTCCAGAACTGTTAAGGCCTGGTCGCGCAGGCCTAGTGTGAGAGCAGTCATGGCCTGACTTTTATTCCAGCCGTTCGCCTTCATAACAGCCTCGAACTGGATTTTGTAGGCTGACCAGGAAGAGGTACCGTCGAACGGTGGCACCTTGAACCCACGTAGCGAAGGTGTTGTAGCTACTACGGGAGCTGTAGCTCCATCTCCAAGTTTGAGTTCGTCCAGTGATTTCTTCATATCAGCCATTACGTTGCCAACCTGATTGTTTACTTGGTCGATTTGGGTTTTAGCTTCCTTGATTTGGGTTTCAGCTTCCGACAGGCGGTTGTCGTGTTGAGCAACCTTATCCTTCACCTCCTTTATCTCTTTCCCAAAGGTAGCATGAAGGTCCTTAATGAGGAGCATCTGCTCTTCCGACCGACGGGCCTGTTCCTCCTGTCGGCGAGCCTGCTCCTCTTGTCCGCCCTGCAGCTGCTCTTTCAACTGACGGACCTGTTCCTCCTGTCGGCGAGCCTGTTCCTCCTGTCGGCGAACCTGTTCCTGCAGCATCACCATCAGAGCACCTAAGTCAGGTGCTGCAGATGTAGGAGCTACCGACGGGCCTTCAGCCGGTGGCTGGCCCTCCGACGTCTGCGGCGTTGCACCACCAAATCTTCGTTGGTCCGTCTCCTGCTGGCGTTGACTTCGGGTACGGACACCCTCGGTTTCCTCCTTAGGTAAAATCGGTATGATTTTATCCCACTTCTGACACCAACTGTTACGAGCTTGAGGTTCATGACAAAATTGCCGATAAAATTACCTAAATTAACACTTTAATTTACTTTACACAAATTAAAGTTAAAAACACTAATAATTAAACACACTTATTCACTTTATTCCGCTCCGAAGCTTCGCTTGTTTCGCCAAATCAACACTACTCCGATCGCATCTTGCAGCGCCTATATATTTAAATTGGCAAAGAAATATCCAGAATGTTCAAGTAAACACGCGCAAGGTACCGAGCGTTCGAGTTTCGACTAGGCGCTGTCGGTTGAGTGATTTGTGATGTCATTTTCTCAATGCTCCCCTCGCTCTCGTTCCTGACACTAGATGGCGCTAGTGTATCGTCGATTTGAGCGCGTAACAGTATTGATTGATGCGGCTGAACATTGGAAATATTTCTTGGAGACTGTACTGACGTGGTGACCACAGATGGAGAAGGTTGAAGAGGAATATTGCTCGTTGCAAGGGAATCCACCAAAGTATCATAACAATTATTTAATAGAGAAGGACTCGCTAATTCTTCATCAAAATCGTCATCAAAACCATTTAAAAATTCTTCCAGCCCGGGAGACAGAGTTCGACAGGAAGATGAATCGTCTAACACTATACGTGAAAATACTCCTTCTTCATTATTCTCATCATTTTCAACGTCGGATGGTTCCGAATCTGACAGTGAAATCATAGCCAAAATTCTTTGCGCACGCCATGCTTTGATATTATTAGTGGAATTCCCTATAACAAGCATATTTAGCATTTAAAACCAATCACCATGAAGCATTAGACATTAAAAAAAATGCATACGTGCTCGTTTAGATTATTATTGTTAGTAACATTGGCAAAGTCCGTTATTTGGGACACCTAAAATTAAACACGAGTGTTGATAAAGCGGCAATGTCCGTAAAAAGTGACACCTATAATTTAGCATAACAATCTTATAAATTCTCATGCAAAGTAATTATAGATTAATCAGAAATAAACAATAAACTCACCTCCTTTCGAAATAACCGCAGGTCGCAGTGGTTTAACCATTTTAATACCAAATTTCTGCACTGTTTTACGAATAGCTGCCGAACATCGACTTGACAGATTTCAAATCGAACGACAGTTACTGTTGTGATGCGCGCGACGCGTAGTGTCTGTGCGAGGAGGATGGATATATCGCTCTCTTCACGCTTCGTTCAAAAACAGTGCCAGTTTACGTTTAGGAACCTTTTTAATTTAGATAATTTAGTTGTACCAAAAAACGGACAAAAATGCATTAAGGGTTAACAAAGTGACATATTGCATTTTTCACATATTGTTTCACATACTTTTGTCACAAAAAACTGGCCAGTGTGTCACTCGATATAGTCGAACATTTTTTACTGGTGCAACTTGGGACACGGCTTCCCACTTTTTCGCCTGAATTTCCTGCTCTAGAGCTGAACTTGGCCTTCCTCTATTTATATCATTTTTTCCCATAAGGCAAAGGGTTTCAGCTACTTCTAGACGAAAGACGCCCAGATTGCACAGTTTCTCATTTGAACTAGTTTTTTGTGACACAAGTTTTTTGTAAGCTAATCATGAATTAATCATGGCCAGGTCCAAGGAGTGAGGGAACAATCGCATATACCATTTTCTATTTTTTATGGTTATATGGTATCTTCCTATATAACTATCCATCAAATCTACGCCTCCCATGTGGGAGTTGTAATCTTTGATTATCAGTGGGCAGTCAATTAGAATTTTTTCTTTTTTAGACTTATCATATCTATTTGTTTTCTGAACTGGCTCCGCCCCCACATAGGTTGATAACAACGTAACCACATTGTTGTCTTTCCACACGGTAACGGATAAATCTGTTCCATCGTAAGTTGTCATGTGTTCTTCATACGATCCTCTTGCTATAGTTTTCTTCATGTGTGATTTTGGATTCGGTAACTTATTATTTGGCAGTCGGTTAGTTTGCACTTTACCCAGACAAAGAATTTTTTGCTTATGTAAGTAGCAAGCCAATGGAATAGAAGTATAATAATTATCGAAGTAGATAATATGGTTGATGTTCCGAGGTACAAGTTGCAAGAGTTGCAAGTCACACCACAACATTTCCAGTTACGCCCAAGTCTGGTTCACTGGGTTCTAGAAGATTATTTTCTCCTACATACACTTCAAATTTGTCAGCATATCCAGAAATGCTGCATTACAAAAATAACTTGAATCCCCCACTAGTGGGGATTTTTGTGAAGATATTGTTTTAGATAGTGTTATATTTTTGTTGCACACATCTGTTCGTCTATTGATAGGCGTTGTTCAATAGGAAAGAGTGCAAAGCGATTGTTCAAATGGTCTATGATTGGTCTAATCTTGTGTAGTTTATCATGTCTAGGATGATCAGATGGGAGAAGAGAGTCGTTGTTGTTGAAGTACAGTAAGCTTTTTATTTTTTCAAATCTGTTTAGAGTCATGCAATTGTATATATGAGCAAATCCGTACTTAAGTGACCAATACATTCTGACATTAGGGTATTTTATAACAGACATAGAGTATAATATGCCAATGTAATTTCTGATCTCTGAGATGTTAGTTGTGAAAGTGGAAGTAGGATCCTTCTGTATAGTATTTAGATTGGTTTCTTGAACAATCTTGTTTAAAATGTCGTCAGTTAAGAAAAATGAAAAAGACATACTTTGTGTCTAAAGACGCTAGCTCACCATAATCTAAACTGGTCAAAAAAGCCACATCATCTTCAGACTTCCACATACTCTGCTTTTACCACAATAATTTCCTCATTTCTTGACGCCGAGCTTGCACACTGTGAACACCAGGTTCCTGCTCAGGTTGTGGGTCTTCCAATAGAGGAGGATCCTCTTCAGCGGGATCAGAACCTGGACCTTCTTTTTCCAGGGTAGGACTTTCTTCATTTTCTTCTCGTTCATCTTCAAGAATCTGTAGCAGATCCGCTCGGCCCCTGTAAGTTTGCACCTCCTCATCATTTTCCTCGCTTTCATCTTCTTCAGCACCATCTTCTGACTCATTTCCATCACAGTAAGCTATGTAGGCGCCTAACTCGCCGCAATATTCACTGTATCTTCAAACAAAATACAAATAAAATAGCATCACTTACCTTGAAAAATCCAACAAAAACTGTTTACAACAAACTTTATTTAACCGGTTCTCACCAAAAAATTTTCAGCTGTCAATTTTAAATTCAAATGAGATTTACGTTTTGCCAACATGACAATAGAAAAACTAGTATGTCGCCGACCGTAGACAGAGAAACCTATAGACTAATGATTAGCGTGGCCTCGAGTGACAAAGGACGATAACGTAGTTTTAGGTTATACAATAATCTTTATGACTTTAAACATATTTAGATAAAAAATTTAATTATTCTAAGAACTGAACTGAACAAGATTCACCAATCTTAAGCTCACAAAACACTTTTTTCTCACTTAAACCAACTTGTAAACTCCTTAGATCGCTACGAACTGTCAAAGTTGTTTAGCAAAGTGTAGTTTGCTAAACAAAAAAACCGACACGGAGAAAGGGACAAACAATCACACCATTCTGTCTCATTTCTATGCAATACGTATGCATAAATCTATCTTTTTCGTGTGCGAATGTGAAAGAAGGCGTCAATTTGTCTATAGGTTTCTCTGTCTACGATACAACGATATTTGTTTTTTTTTTTAGGTAAAGGCTTATTAGCGTAGACAGAGAAACATATAGACTAATGAATAGCGTGGCCTCGAGTGGGAAAGAACGATAACGTAGTTTTAGGTTATACAATAGTCTTTATGACTTTTAAACATATTTAGATAAAAATTTTAACTGTTCTAAGAACTGAACGAAACAAGATTCACCGATCTTAAGCTCACAAAACTTATTTTTTCACTTAAACCAACTTGTAAACTCCTTAGATCGCTACGAACTGTCAAAGTTGTTTAGCAAAGTGTAGTTTGCTAAACAAAAAAACCGGTACGGAGAAAAGGACAAACAATCACACCGCTCTGTCTCATTTCTATGCAATACGTATGCATAAATCTATCATTTTCGTGTGCGAATGCGAAAGAAGGCGTCAATTTGTCTATGGGTTTCTCTGTCTACGGGCATTAGTAAGTATTTTTATTGACTGGAGGTTGGCAGTAATTGTTAGGTTGCCATATTTAAAAAAAAATTAATAGTATTCTATTAATCTATAGTCATCTATACCTATGCCTATAGTCATCCCGTCAGGGTAAATGTGTTCTGTGATAGTCATATTTTATTGGCATTGGGATTGTCAACTGAACGTCAATAACGGTTTTACGCGTTTTTGGTGTCATTTTAATTATTTTAAGTTTTCTTGTAATATTCTGATTACATTCCTTATATATTTTAGTATATATTAATAATATTTATTTGCATTTTCATATTGTATCTCATTTAGCGACAATTTCATACTATCACAAAATAGTTTAACGTAGCCTTAGTCTCTCGGTCGCCATTTTCTAATCCAATTCCGCCTAAGCCACCGGATCCGAATTATTCTGACACTAACATTATTTCCTCACCAGCTGCTTATGTGGAAATTGAAAATTATTTAGAAGGTTCATTTAAAAAACCACGGCAGTCATTATCGCAAGAAATTTTTGATGACAACTTCAAAATTATTTCAAACAAAAAGAAAAGAAAATATAAAACGAAGGAAAGGAAGAAGGAAGAGCATGCTAATCGGGTTGACATAAATAGAAGAATTTCAGCTTTTTCCACCAATTCCTCATTCTCAGAATCGGACTGCGATACTGGTAATACTTCATCATCTAAAATTAAAATTGTAGGCTCTAACTCTATCAAAAGCAATATGTCAGGACAATGTGCTTATGAATCTCCCATGTCTTTATCATCCAATATTGCTTGTACACAATCATCTGAAATCCTTCTTTCACAATCATCTGGCATTCCTCTATCACAAACATTAAATTCTGCCAATAGTTATATCTCTTCTAAATCTCTTAACACGCATATTGATAGCGATAATAAAAAAATAGAGTCACAAAGATTCCAATCTCTTCGTTCTTATAATTCTACAGATTCAGGTCCTTTTATCGTTCATGTTCAAGTAAAAGAAGACTCTCCTAATTCTGGAAAAACTTTAAACGCCATTTCATTTGGTCACTTTTTGAAAAAATTAAATGTACAAACGTATCGGGAGAAATAGAATAACGGTTGAATTCTCTAAGTTTATTGATGCAAATCTATTTTTAGAGAATCCATCCGTAAATGATAAATATAAAACCTTAATTCCATCATTTCACGTATCTCGTATGGGAGTTATAAAATGTGTACCAAAAGATTGGAAACCAGAAGAGATTATTTCCGAATTATCTTCGTATCCAAATACCATTCCTGTATTAAAAGTAAGAAGATTAAATTACCGAGTTCGCAACGAGGACAAAGTCAGATATGAAAGCTCTGAAAGTGTCGTAATCACATTTGACGGTCAAATTCTTCCCTCGAGGGTTTATTTATGCTATTCTTCCATTCCTGTTGAAATTTATAAGCTTCCAACGATCCAATGCTTTCAGTGCTGCAGATTTGGACATACTAAAGATTTATGTCGTTCCAAGCCAAGATGCTCAAAATGTGGAGGTGATCACTCCTCTTCTTCTTGCGACAAAGATAATGGATCTTTTCGTTGCTTATTTTGCTCAGGTAACCACAAAGCCACAGATTCTAGATGTCCTGAACACACAAGACAAAATAATATTAAAATTGAAATGGCACAAAAGTCTATCTCATACCTAGAAGCATCTCAAAAATATCCACAAGTTTCTTCAAAATCATACGCTGATGTTTTGATTTCTAAATTCCCTGAAAATTCTTCGCTTTCTACTAATCCTTCTAATTTTCCTTCCAACCCCGCTACATCTAATAAAACTTCTTATAAGAAATCATTATATATTCCTAAACCATTACGTCATCATTCACAAACAGGATACGACAAAAAAAGTCATCAAAAAATTATTGAAGATTTTTCAATTCCGCAACCTGAGGATGGTTGTGCTCTTCGGGTTTCACCAGTTACTTCACAGGGTAATTTTGATTCTGTAGAAAGCATTATAAGTTTCCTTATTAACATAATCATATCTTCGTATTCTTGGAAGCTTTCGTCCCACGTTGCTCGCTTACTAAATTCTATACCTAAAATTCTCCAAGACATTCACTCTCACAAAGATCCTTCAATGGAATTGTAGAAGCATTTTAGATAAACGTACTGAAATAATCTATTTATTAAAAAAATACAATGTGTGTATCGCTGCTATTTCAGAGACATGGCTAAAACCGGATTCGAATATCAGAGTACCTGGTTTTTGTCTTGTTCGAAGTGACAGATCTGATGGTTATGCCGGATGTGCTTTGCTTATAAAAAATAATATAACTTATTCCATTATAGATTCAAAATATAACTTTCGTTTCTATTTATGTTCCCTCCCCTTCTGTCCATACGTTTCGTAGAATAAAATCTTTAATAGCCTCCTTACCCAAACCATTTATAATTCTTGGTGACTTTAATTGTGAAATTCTAAAAATCGCTCCTATTTCTGAAAATAATATAACTTCTATTGTTGAAGCATTTACAAACGCAGTTATAAATGCAGCAGATCAAACAATTCCTGTTAAAACTCTAAATAATAAATGTAGGCCCTCCCCTCCATGTGGGATTCTGAATGTACTGATGGCCTCAGTAATAGGAAAAAAGCCGAAAAACAATATAAATTAGACATGAGTTCGGAAAACTATTCATACCTTCAACGTGTGCAAGAAGTGACTAAAAATACTCTTCGCACAAAAAAACAAACACGTTGGCATGCCTTTTGTTCCTCAATTTCTCCTTCAATACCTTCATCAGTTGTTTGGCGTAATATTAGAAAATTTCGCTGTTGTTTTTCATCTTGTTCTTACAGTGGTGCCATTCCCTCTCAATCTATAAACACTTTTCTAGATAAACTTGCCCCCTCTTCTGCTCCTTTGAGAGAGGAGCTACCTCAAAGTATTCCATGTGATTCTTTTTTTGATCCCTTAGAACGTCCATTTTCTTTATATGAATTAAAGCTCGTCCTTTCTCACGTTCAAGATTCAGCTCCTGGTTTAGACGGTATTCCATATTCACTACTTGCCAAATGTAATGATCAAATTTTATCCTACTATTTAAATATCATTAACGTTTTGTTTGACATAGGCTTTGTTCCTGACTGTTGGCGGACTCAAGTAATTATTCCTATCTTGAAACCTGACAAAAATCCTAACGACGGTTCTTCTTATAGACCGATCGCTCTATCCTCAACTCTAATTAAAACCTTTGAACATATGATCAAGAACCGTCTTGAATGGTATGTAGAAAGTCATGGATTGTTATCAAATTCCCAATATGGATTCAGAAAAGGTAAAAGCACATATGACAGTCTTTCTATCTTCACCACAGATATTAGACTAGCATTTTCGAGAAATGAGTCGGTCCTTGCTGCTTTCCTTGACATTTCTTCTACTTACGATAATGTCAGACTCAACATACTTAGAGAAAAGATGTTTAAGCTTAATATATCCAAAAACTTACAAATTTGATTATCAATTTATTTCTAGATCGATATATACATATTAAAATTGATGATGATCTAAAATATACTCGAAAGGTTTTCAAAGGCCTTCCACAAGGCTCTGTTTTAAGTCCTTTATTATACAATATTTATACGTCAGATTTGGACCAGTCTATCAAAGTGTAGAATTTTGCAATATGCTGATGATATCTTAGTTTATGTTAATGATAAATGTATAGAATCTTGTGCTAATGCGATAGAACAAGATCTCCTCTCTATGGCCTCTTGGTTAGATGATCATGGGCTAGAACTTTCCCCAAATAAAAGTAATACAGTAATTTTTTCTCGCAAAAGAGTTTTACCTTAAATCCAAGTTCGCCTTTTTGATTATCCGCTCGTAAATATTCAACAAGTTAAATTCCTTGGTGTAATTCTTGATAATAAATTATCCGGCATGCCTCATATAATTTATACCCAAAAAAAATGCGAAAAAAATATAAACATTCTTAGAGCTTTGTGCGGGGTATGGTGGGGCGCTCACCCATATTATTTAAAATTAATTTATAATGCAATTACAAGAAGCCGATTAGATTATGCCTCATTTCTTCTTGAACCAACTAGTAAAAAAGGATTAAAAATATTAGATATCATTCAACACAAGTCTTTAAGATTAATTATAGGCGCTATGAATTCGTCGCCTATCAATGCCTTGCAGATTGAATGCGGTGATCCTCCACTTTTTATTAGACGACAATATTTATCGGATTCCTTTTTTTATCGGGTTCTTCAATTTTCAAACCATCCATTACTCCTTAAAATTCGTTTGCTTTCTCAGTACATTTCAATTAATTCAGGAAAATACTGGCGTAATAAAGAAACTCCTAACCTAGTTAAAAGCTATGAACATTATAATTCCTTACTAGATCCTATTTATAGGTCGGCGACTCTGCCTCTTTTCTCCAATTCGTTTGAAGTTGCACTTTTCAAACCCAATGTTATATTAGATATAGGATTAAATAAATTTTCTATTGAATCAAATAAAAGATTTGTATTTACGTTGGACAAGAATTTTCCAGATTGTCATTTTATTTTTACAGATGCTTCTAATGTCGCCTCTACACGTTGGCCAACACAGTGGCGAATGTAGTGGCGAATATATTGGCCGAGAGTTGGTGACGGCGTCCACACGTTGGATGGTCGTTCAGTTTACTTCGGTTCGGGCCAATGTGCGGACGAATTTATTTTATTTTAGACGACGGCTCCGTGTCGCAGTGGCTTGGCAATGAGTGGCTGTGCCAGGAGTCGCGGGTTAGAATCCCGCACGGAACAAGTATTTGTATATCCTACAAATAATTGTTTCGGGTCTGGATGTGTGTCCTTGTGCAATTTGTGTTTGTAAGTTGCCTCCGCGACACAGGAGAAAATCCAAGTGTGGGGGGTAACGTTTTTATAAAAGAATAGTGAATATTAATGGGGCTGTAAATAGATATACGATATACGATTAGCTTTATTTATTCTTTACATGCATCAGAAACTTGAATAAATACCATTAATAAGAACTTAACTTATTTTAAAGTTAAAGGAGTTATAATCGATTAGTCTATGTTTTAAAATTGGGTTTTGTTTTTAAAGTTTAGCAAAACATGTACTTGCTTTTCTATCAGACATTTGATGTATATAGAAAACACCTTATAATTTATTTGGTAATTTAATTATTTTTTGAGAAAGACAAAAAAAATAGCAATAAATATAATTAACACTGACTTAATAATAGGTACTAATTATAACTTAGAACATAAATGAAAAACTCATGAGAAGGAAAGTGGCTCAGGACCATGCTTTGCGGCATTCTTTGGAGGAGGATGTTCAGTCGTGGACTTGTGAAGAGCTGTAATGATGATGATGACAAACGAGCACATAGTTCACCTGATGGTAAGTGGTTGCTGTGGCCCACAGACATCTACATCTATCCTCGATTACGAATCAAAATGCAGATGCGTTGTCACCCGTGAGGACTAAAATGAAATGCCTCGTTTCCTTTAAAAAGTGTCTCTGGTTCTCTACACTCACTATACGAAACACAGTCATCAAGCTACTATTTTACATTGATATTCTGTGAGAGCGTGGTCCTTCTCCGGGCGAACCGACCCATTCGTGCTACAACTATACTTCTAATATTTTTTATTTTATTTTAAAATTGTTCCGTAATAATCTGATTGTAAATAAATGTAAATTATTTTTTTATAAATAGCTTATCGATTAAAACAAATGTTTAAAAATAATTAAATCGCGCTAATTAAAGTAGTAGGAATGTTTAAAGTTGAAATTAAAACACTAAAGGCACTAAAAGGCTGGTAATTGGGTCATCCACCCTACAAAGCGTGAATATAAAATTTTAATCAGATGCGTGTAATCACTCTGGGAGCTTGTAGCAAACTAAACTCGCGGCCAACGTGTGGACGCGGCGACCAAACTCTGCCAACAATCCTTTGATCTTTTGTAAAAAACCGACACCACACGGATCTCGCGCCAAATTGCGGGCCATCGTTCCAATACATATCAATGAAGCCCAAACACCCCGTCTACACGTTGGCCAATGCTATTGGCCACTACATTCGCCACTGTGTTGGCCAACGTGTAGAGGCGCCGTAAGATTAACTCAAAAGGTTGTACTGGATATGCAATATACCATCAAAATTGGAGAATAGTTCAAAAAATGAAAAGTCCTCCCGAATCTTCAGTTTTTACTGGAGAAATGTTAGCCATTTTACAATCAATAAAATATTGTTATCTTTTTAAATTAAAATCAAGCGTGATATTTTCAGATTCTCTTAGTTCTTTACAAGCATTGTTATGTAACCCTTTCTATGACATTTCCCGCAATCCTTTGATATTTGAAATTAAGAAACTTCTATTCTTATACCAATTCCAAAACATCAACATTTCTCTCGTTTGGATTCCGAGTCATATTGGTATATCTGGTAATGAATATGCTGACAAACTTGCTAAACAAGCTATAGTCTGTGGGGATACTTTATTATTTAAAAATTATTGCTACGACCTTATAAGAAGTACGAAATTAGTATATAGAGATAGATGGTCAAAACATTGGAACAAAACCAAAACGACAAAAGGCTGTCACTACGCCAAAATTCAACCCATCATTCCTTCTAAGCCTTGGTTTTATAAATTATCCGTAAATAAGAAACATACATCAATGTTATGTAGAATGCGCTTGGGTCACTGCTGTAATTCGGTTCACCTTGCTAGGCTTCATATTAAAAATTCTTCAATATGTGAATGTGGTTTGGATATTGGTGACCTCAACCATATTTTCTTCTCGTGTCCGTTATATGATCATACTTCATTATTTAACACTTTGGTAAATCTTAAAATTCCTCTTCCTACAGAAATTTGTTCTCTTTTAATTTTTTCTAAAAAAAGTAAAAATGTTTTCACTTGTCTTATGGAATTTTTAGATTTAAATAATATTAGATTATAAAATTTTATTCATTATTTAGCTATCAATCGTCTTTATTTAGTAATACTTATTATTTTTAATGTGGTATTGAGTTTAGTATTATTTTAATTCAACCTAATATCCATCATTTTTTTAATATACTTCAGTACAAGTCGTTTCATGATTCATTATTATAGTATTCTATGGTTCTTAACATTATGATTTTGGTTTTTAATCAGAATCGTAGTTTCTCTTTAGATTATCCGTCGTTTCGTTTCAAGTTACAAGTATTTTTATTGACTGGAGGTTGGCAGTAATTGTTAGGTTGCCATATTAAAAAAAAAAATTTATTGGCATTGGCCTAGCTTGCTACATATTTATTTATCTAATATCTATCAGGCCCGGTCAACTCTGTATGGACAGAATGAAATACCTACGGGGGCTGAATTTTACTATTTCCATTTGTCAGATAAATGTCTTGTTTCATAATTAGTAAGATTTTGCTAAAGATAAATTACACTCAAAAATTTTGAATACAGAAATAATAATCAATAGGAATATAACTATGCCTGTCGTATTTTTCTACATTATTATATTAGCATATCCTTGACAGTAAAAGAAAAATAAATGTTTTCTTTTTTGTTTTGATTTTCAATGAGTAGAAAATTATATTTTTTACTGGTAACACCAAATACCTAAATGAGTAATATGGGTGCGTTTGGCAGAAAAAAGCGCTAGCAAGCACTTGTAAGCAAAATGGCGATCGTAATCGGTAAGCGCTGTCAAATCGTAAGTAGCTATTTTCCTCCAGGACACGATGTTAGTTTTAACCGGGGGAAACTAACCTAATTTAAATATATGTTTGTAAAGTATTCATATTAAAAACTTACCAATCATGAATTTTTAATAACATGTATATGTCTATTCATGTCATTATATTACTTAAAACTAATATTGCACAAAACAACTTATAAACTCTACTTCAAACAAACAAATTAAATAAGCAAAATGGCGGATTGTGTCAGCGCTACTGAAGTTGCAATCGTGTCCTGGCCGAAAACTATTTTAGCGCTTGTAAGCGCTTGCTAGCGCTTTTTTCTGCCAAACGCACCCTATATTTCTCTTTTCTCACAGTGCTTCCAGATCCCAAAAGTAAAATTACAGTGTTGCCAGTTAAAAAATACAGGAGTTTCTAAAAACAATACAGTAGATTTCAAAATCAATTACAGTAAAATTACAGGAAACACTTTGTTTAAATATTGATAGAAAAATAAGCTGCTTTATGACTCTTTATCAATACAAATTGCTATAAGTTATTAAATAAATAAAAACATATATTTAGATACAAGAAAAAACATTTATTATTGATTTACTTATTCCAGAACAATTTGCTCATGATTTTCATAAATCTTTGCTGTCATCCTTGAAATCATTTCCTTAGTTGGATTAAAATTCACGCAATTTTCGGAAGTCCGCCGAATGGCTTGCTGAGCTAGCATGTTGCCTTTGATGGTATTTGTGACTAAACAGTTTCTCTGCTTTGTTTTTATATTATTTATTTCACTAAACTTTCGTTCGCACTCAGCGTTCGAGTGAGGCAACGATAAAACTTGGAGCATAAAACGAGGCAGAAAATGATATTTATTATCTCCGTTGCTATCTTTGATTTGAGACAACTGAAAAAAAAAACAAATCTGTAAAATGTAAACATATGTGCAATATTATACGTAAAGTTCTTAAGTGATAAAATTTTACCTGATGCCAAAACACGTCTGCTGGTTGATTTGTATTCAAATGTTGTTCATCCGCAGTCAACATTAAATTTCTCCATTCATCATCTAACGTCTGTTGATCATTTAAAGTTTGGGGTTTAAGCCTTGGCAGCACTGGGAACAGCGAAGACAAAGACTGTAGTCTATTATCAGATAAGCAAGAATCGGGATCCAACTTTGCGATTGAGCTCAAAACTGGGTCATTCAAACTGTATCTTTTCCGAATACCCACGCATGCTTTAACGATAAAATTCAGGCATTTCTGTTTCATCACTGTAACTTCTTCGGTACTTACATGTAGCTCTGGGACAGCAACTTGATTAGCAACACCCAATCCCAGGTATATATTTTTCAGATTTATGTAATGTTGACTATCAGTAGGGTCAATTGCGTCGAGTGGGGTGTTCTTTAAATGATTCGGAGTTATGTATAAGGATAAGAGTTCTCTGTATAGCTCTTTCATTTTGTTATGGGCTTCTATAATAACCGGATCTTCGCTTTGAAAATATACATTGACGCGGGTAAACTTTGGCAACATCCAACATAAAAAATAAAAATATGCCTTGATGATGTGATCATTCAAAAGAATATGAATGGCTTGGCAATCTTGGTCTTCCAGCCATTTATCGTCAAAGTACAATCGCAAAGCGTCCCATTGCTCCATAATTCTGTTCACAACACTGGAAAGAGACAACCAACGCGTTTGGGCTGGACGTAGCAATTTGTGTATGTTAGTGTCTGTAAATACTTGAAATTCCTTTAACTCTGCTTGACGTTTGCTACTATTTTTGAAGTAATTGTATATCATTCGAGTCAGTTTTTCTGCATCGTGGGGCAATTCTTTGCAAGCGTCGGAAGCGCACAAATGTAAAGAATGGCAAAGGCATTTGATCACTGTAATACCTGGACATAGTTGTCTAAATCGTGAGGACACTGAATTATGGCAGCCCATCATCATATTACATCCATCAGAACCAAACCCGATAGTATTTTCTAAGGGTATATTTTTGTCTCGAAATGATTTTATTATTGAATTAAATAATTTTTCAGCCGTGGCTGAGTAATCACCAGACGTTCCAGCTTTTTTGTCATCAAATATTTGAATAAGGTCCCAGAATCGACTGACGATACGTCCTAAATTAGGATCATAATATTTGACTACAACACACATTGTTTTCACACTGGCAACATCGGTACTTTCGTCTACCATTATAGAGAACTTTTCGCGTTTTAAATCTTCGACTAAACATTCTCCTTCAGAAGCCCCGATAACGTTATTTATTATTGCTTGTAATTTAGTGTGTTTAAGTTTGATATTACTTGCGATTTTAGAATCTGGAAAAGCTTTTGGAAGTAAATCAACGAGATGATCCATCACTATGTGCGATATTTTATGTTCTGCCATAAAAGCCGATAATTTTAATTCTGTAATTTTCCGCTGATCATCATCACTTGCGCGTTGCTGACTTTTAAAAATATTATCAATGGTACGCACATGCGATAGGGCAGGAAGACGAAGTTTATGCTTAGCACCTTCACTGTGTCTTTTAATAGCACCCAGATCGGCAATCAAAGAAGAATCGCAAACAGTGCAAATGCATTTATAAATCGACTTTTTATCACGCTTTAACCACTTACGGTAGTCTTGTAATTGAAGCCATTCATCACGGAATTGTTGCCGATATTTCTTTTTAGCTCTTGACGGACCAGCATCGCTACGCACATCACTTTCCTCACTGCTTGAGCTCATTTTTACAGTAATAAATACAGTGAAAAAATTATAGCGAATAAGTTTTTAGTTTAAATTTTATTTCACATCACCCAAAACAATTAAAAAGTTTAAATCTCAATTAAAATGTATGTACAATGGCAAAACTACTTTAAGTGTAATGAATTAGACGAAAAATACAATGTTCCTTTGTAAGACAGTTAAAACAAGTAACAAGAACCTACTTATGCTAGTTGCGTCCCAGAGTGCTCCACGTTAGTTCCGATTTGCCAGGGAATTCCCCCGCAACTTTGTTACAAACTTACTGTACATTGTCTATGGATAATGGCGCTAGCACTCTTATTAGTTTGTGGTTCAGTGGGTGTAGATCATAGATAAATAAATTTGTAGCAAGGTAGTGTATTAGCATCATATTAGTCTGTGGTAGTGTAGATTAGCTGCGTTCTGTTTTACGTATTAGAATTGATAAAGCTATATGAAAATTAAATACAGTATATTCCATACACTGTATTTTATCATTACAGTATACAGTAGAAAAGTCTAAAATACAGTAAATCTACTGTAATTACAGTGAATCTGGAAGCACTGTTTTCTCATAATATGGCGTCGCCGTATAAATTATTGTTGTTCATGATTGGTTGTTATGTTTGTTTTGCTTGTGTCTTTTACTAAGATTTTGCAAGTTTACGATGTTGAGTTGAGATTAATGTCATTCATTTATATAATGTGCAATGTGTTAGTCAATAAATCGTAGTGAAATACGAAATAGTGACTCTTAAAAACTACGCTGCAATGGCGGATAAAGAAAATAGAAAAAGTGTTCTAAGTGCAACAGCATACCAACTATTGACAACGTTAAATTATTTAGGTTTCCGAAATTCGCAGTAAAGTATATTTTGCGGTACGTATACGATATACATATACACTATTTAATAAGTTCTAACCTTAAAGTAAATCTCTTGTCCAACTTATTGTTTCTCTTTTACCATTTAAAAACAAATTATTGGTTTGTAAACCATTAATTTGTTTTTAACCTACTTTGACAATATTTGTATTTAATAATTATATCTTTTGTTTTCAGTTGTAAATTATGGGCGAAATATTATATTCCTTCCCAAGAGCAGTATACTATAGCTTTCCAATGCTACATAATAAGCCCAGAATGCTGTGTGAAAAACATTTTCATGATGGTTAATTTAATGATGCAACCAAGAAAAAGCTCTTAAGCACTGCAGTCCCATGTGATGTAAGTAAAGTGTATAATGTATATGGTAATATGGTATGTATATAGTTTTATTTAAGGATTACTCAGATATTTTATATGGGGATTACTATATTCAGGAGTGGACTTTGATAGACTGTAAAGAAGATGATGATTATTCATATGACCATCATCGGGATCTAACATGGATGGACAGACCACATACAGTAGTTTGAATCCTGTTAATTCTTTCAACTAATTTATAATAATTGGATCGGACAAAGCATCCAAAGGATTGAAGTCTATAAAGTTAGCACAAGCCTTTCCTTACATTATTAAAAGTGCAACACACTGCATATTATTTTTAACAATCAAATTTTATTTTAAATCAACATCAAACCTTAAGAAAGTTCCGGCATCACAATATATGAATAATTAATTACATTTGGTCCTAAACCTATCAAATTTAAAGGCACAACTTGTACAACACAGTAGAAATACATGCATCAAATGGTTCTCAAACAATAGATAAACACAAGATTTCTTTTCACATACTTATTGTATTTACTATCTTATTTTGTTATATTAATTGTAATAGTGGGTGTATTATAGAGCAAGTTGGATGAACAAGATCCATTCATTTATTTTGTAGTAGTAGTAGAAGGGTAATGTAGTGCCATGAGTAGGGACTGGTTTACTATGAAAGTAATGTCAATGAATATAATGGTAATTTAATTTTATATAATAATTTTATAATACTATAATTTATGATTAAAACTACTTTTACGGATTTTATCGCGTTTATTTTTACTTTTTATTTACTTTTATTTTTAATAATATTAATAACTTTTATTTTTAATAATATTAAAAATAAAAGTAAATAAAAAGTAAAAATAAAGGCGATAAAATCCGTAAAAGTAGTTTTAATCATGTATAGTGTTCGCGTAAATATAAGAAATCATTACTATAATTTATTTCAGGTTTTATTTATTTCCAGACTAACAAAGTGTATTCCCATTTTGTTTTGTGGAATCACAAGCTGGTCCCTCGCAAATTATTGCTGCAAAACCACAAGCAGGATCTTCAAAAAGGACAACATTATATCCACTGAAGAACAACCACAAACATCAAAGCATAACACATAATGTTGAACCTGAAAAAGAAAGTATGTATCTCTATGTGAAATTTTTTAAAATGAAATAAGGAATATTTTTGTAATCTAATATTTAATATGTTTTATAATTTTGAATTAAAATTATTCTATTTATAAGCTGCATTCAATACTTAATATATTGCATATAATATAGAGACAAAATTTTTAGTGTCAATTCAGGGAAATAGATAGACAACCAAATATTATCAAAACACAATTATTATTTGTGAATGTTGCACTTTGCACTTGTGTGTAGGAGCTTATTTATTAATTAACTTGTTTTAGATTAAAATATTGATATTTTGGTTATTGTAGACAATCATTGTGCATATTATCAATTCATCCATGATTGTAAATCTTATTTCAATTCTTTATCATTGTTTACTTAAGTAATTGAAATGTTGTAATCATTATTGATTTTCTTTTCATGTTTAAACCCATCAAATGTCTTTATAGAAAGAACTAAGCTGCTGGAGAAATTGTTTCTTAAGTTATGTATATTTTTTATTTCAATTTGTATTTTTATTTTGAATAAATAAATAGAAATTTTGTAATTTTTGTTCTTTTATTTAGCGCTGGGATAGGAAACCCAAAAATACCTCAAATAAAAAAAAGACCACATTCAAATTTTCCCGCCACACGAGAAGTGCAGGAGGCTGACGATAGATGGCGCTAGTGGTTATATATATCTCATTTCTTAGATTTTGTATGAAGTTGTCGTTCTTCTCCGATAGGAGTAATAGTGTTCTGTGATATCTATGCATTGGCCTACTGGTGCCACTACATTTTAATATTTTATATTTTTAAAAACTCCGGTTTATAGATGAAAAAGTGAATTCAGTCATAAATAGTAAAGCTATAGGAAACCGGAATGGCCTTTAGTGAAGTTTGTAGAATTTGTTTACGCGTTAATGTACGCTTATGTGTACTAAAGAAGACTAGTCTCCGAATCTTGTACAAAATATTGACGAACTGTTTGGTAAGTTGTTAACATTTTTTAATATTCCAAATTGGAATTGCGGTAGTTTGTTGTTGTTGACGGAGAAATACATTATAACTTCTCTGATATAAAATGCGATAGATCAGAGCTAGGCTAAGGTGCAGCATTATATATAGTGCTACCAGACAAATGCAACCAGAACCTGAAAAACAACAATTAGCCTGAAATCCTACTACGTACTTGAAGAGTCACCGAAACTTAATTGTTTGCAACACACGTTAGAGCCCGCGGGCTCAAACTTAATCGCATAAAAATGCCTCCTTCAACGCGACTCGTACTGCTGAATAGATTTTTTCACCGTGTCTGTTCTAGTACATATCACTGAGTATTATTGCGATTTCCTGTCCAAAAATAACATAATGGTTTGGTCTTTCATCCACTTAAAGCCATTCTATCAGGCTATTGAAGTGGACATGTGTTATCAGACAGAAACTAGGGAAGGGAATAATGTGCACATGTGCTTTCTTACACACATACAATATAATCCTGCCCTGTGCTAATGAATAGTCTCCATTGTGATTGATTGCCACACTGCACCTGTATTATCATTGTATCACAGGCGGGTCGGCTCTACTGGGGTGGTGCCATGGTCTAGTGTTAAGAATGTCCTGGTATAATGTTAATATATTATTTTATATGTTTCAATCAAGTGTCCTCATTCTCTGATCTTTCAGTTTAAGTGTTTTTAGACTTTCCTCATATAGTGTGTTTTCAATGCTCTAGAAACTTGAATATCTGTGTTGCAGCTTCTACAGTAACTTAATATAATTTGGAATGTATATTCCAAAATAGGTTGAAAATATGTTTTATATATTATTAGTGTAATTACTAGTATTATTATTATTGTTATCAATATTTGCAACAATTGCCACGTTAGGCAGGCAGGTCGGCAACTGCAGTTTTCATGAGAAAAATGCAGCTGCCCCTCATACTGCAGTTGTACTGCAACTATAGTGCAGTCCTTATGAGATTAAATAATCTCATTGTTAGATGATCAAACCCACCTCGAACTCACTTCATACTGCAATTGATATTAAATTAAAAAGGTTAAAACTGTTAGGAGATGTATATTGTTACTAACTTCCATTTGAAACTAAGTGACAGTGCAGACTATAAACTCAAGAAGGTAATAAGTTCAAATCTGCTATTTGACTATTGTTGTAAATTACTCCTAGCGCAAACATTTTCGGTTTACTGGGGCAAATAGAGAAGTTTTTGCAATGTTAATAGTTATGCTAGTAGTAACTGCCTTGTTGGTCTAGTGGTTCTATTAGTGTGACTGCTGATCATGAGGTCCTGGGTTTGAATCCCGGGTCGGGCCAAAAAATCAATTATTGAGTTTTTCCGTCAAGAAATTCTGAGTAGTTGCCCGGAGTCAGGAAGTTGGCGGTGTCTCACCCCTGTGCCTCGGAAAGCATGTAAAGCCATTGGTCCTGCGCCTGATCTCTCTCTGGTCGTGTCGGTTTACCGTCCCATCGGATTATGAGAGTGAGGGAATAGAGAGTGCACCTATGCTTGCGCATACACTTGGTCACTATAATCCTGTCCTGTGCCAATGGCTAGTCTCCATTGAGGCTGGCCGCCGTGACCGAAATTCAGTCTGGAGGACATTATTATTATTATTATGCGAGTAGTTTAAAGTTAATGTTAATGTCGGTTTATTAGGATTGAATATTGAAAGACCACATAAAAATTACTCTGTCAGGGTCCCAAGAGTCTGGATCTACTGCTTTTAAAATTCTATCTGTTAATGTCATGTAGATTCCCACTTACTTTACACTCACAACATTTTAAATTAATTAGAGAATCGTGTCCATATATTAACCGCATGCATAAGTTTACTGATGACATCACTATGTCACTTATCGATGATTAGTAAACCTTAACAAGAAAACGATGAATAATTTCGGAGCAAGAGGAATAAATTCAAAGACATTGCACATGTGAGCGCAAGACTGCCATGTTAACAGTACTAAATAAACGAGCGCAGGATGAGGTCGGCTGAGGTGAGAAAGGGCAAGGCACAGACAAACTTTCTGCACAGGGCTAATAGCTAGCAGAACTATCAAGAAATGAAAACGTAATTCTCGAGTGGTAGCCTCATACTGGTAAGCAAATTGTAGCATGGACCCCCATTAGATAGTGGCGATCTGGTAAAACAGGAAGTCGATGGATGTAGGTAGCTAAGACTGTGTTGTTGCAGTGATAATGATTCACTAGGTGGTAGGACTTTTTGCTGTATGTCTGGGCAGTGATCATCCTCTTACCTATACCTGCTACCAAGCAGCAGTATGTGTCCCAGCCTGAAGGACATTGACAGTCAGTATAATATCAGACTGTGAAGCATTACATCTTAGTCCTCAGAGGTAACATCGCATCTGTAGCCTTTCATGAATTTTGGGCTGTGGCAGCCACTTACCATCAGGTGGATTATAAGTTTATTTGTTACTTCAATGTTATAACAAAATGATGTTGAAGAAGAGAGTTGTGGTAGCAAATATATTTTATTACAAACTTGTATATTTACTTAGTTTTCCATGTTTATCACAAACTTTCATATTTTCAGATGGATGAAGATGAGGAGCCCATAATTGTCTGTTTCATCTGTCATGCAAAACTCATTCGATGCAGAACATTACAACAACAGGCTATTGAGTCAAATGCAGTTCTGGAGCAGTTGCTTGCAGGAGGATCCATGGTATTTATTATCCATTCCATCCATTAAAACCTATAAAAGTCTGTCATAGAAGGGATTTTGCGAAATTTGCCATGCTTGGCAGGTTGGGAACTGTAGTTTATATTAGTCTGAATTGTTATCAGGAAGATGCTGCCATCCAATTCCTGTTTCTGTTTCCCTCTGTCGGCTCTTACGACACCCGTCACTAATTATACTTCTTATTGATAAAAATTCACTGCTCGATGGTTCATTCCCATTATAATAAAGTATTTGCCTTAATCATCACTTGGCAGGCATCTTGACGATCACTACCTGTCTCGCGCCTTCTATGCTGCTTCCCATTGCTATTTTGACCAAATGTTGGCTTATGAACAGGTTTTCTTTTAAACTTACTAAGAGGACCCATCTACTATATTGTTTATGTATGTAATTTTAAGGAAATAAAGCATTATTATTATTATTATTTTTGGGGTATCTGTATAGTTTTCTCATCTGGTTGGTTTCTATAAATATATAATTATAAATTAAAATGAAAAGATAAATATACATAAATATCAATAAAATAAAATAAATACAAAAAAAATACACAAATAAATAAAGATCCAACCAGATGGAAGCCCTCGGCAGGGGAGACCAAACGGCCGAGGGTTAGGGGGAAAGGGAAAGAAACCGACGGACGATGCGGGCGGTATCGAGGACCACTGCCTTCTGCATTTGAGCCCGGAGCGGTCCGTCACGGAGTCCCAGTCGCCTCAGATGACCCGAGAGGCTGACTGGGATTAGCCCGTTTGCAGAGACGACTACAGGAATAATTTCGGTCGGCAGACCACCCCACATGTCGGTCACCTCGTGAGCCAGGTCCAGATATTTTGTTTGCTTATCTGTTTCGGCTTTCACGAGGTTCTCGTCATACGGAATGGTAATGTCGACCAAAAATATCCTTGACTGTGCCCGGTCCATCAGCACAATATCAGGCTTATTTGCAAGAATAGTCCTGTCTGTGATGATGGCCCGGTCCCAGTAGAGCCTGGCGCGGTCATTTTCGAGCACGGCTTCCGGCAAGTACTTGTAATACGGCAATTTCCGGTCCACGAGACCGTATTTCAGAGCGAGCGCCTGGTGTAGAATTCTGGCTACTAGGTTGTGCCTGTGCAAGTACTCAGAGTTAGAAAGCGCCGAACAACCGGAGATGACATGTCTAAGTGACTCCCCGGGATGGCGACAAGCTCGACAGACGTCGACGGTGCCATCCTTTAGGATGTATCTCCGATAGTTGTTGGTCTTAATAACCTGATCCTGTATTGCACAGACAAAACCCTCGGTTTCCCCGAAGAGGTCACCGAAACGTAGCCAGTTGAGGGAGGCGACTGTATCTACGAAGGGCTCATGTAGAACCCTGTAGTACCTCCCGTGGAGCTCCTTCTCCTTCCATACGGTCTCCCGGTCGGAAATGCTAAGCACTGCTGGGTCCTGCCATTGCTCGTTGGCCAAGGATAGAGGGGTAAGCCCTTTATCACTAGAAATGACGTCATTATAGAATGGATCATCCGATCTCGCCAGGAAGTAATGACGGAGGCTGCACACTTCACGATTATGCATAGTGAGCGCGCTTAGAAAGCCACGCCCACCATGCTTTCGCGGCAAGTACAGCCTCATTACCGACGATCTCGGATGATGCATCCTATGGGACGTCATGGTAGTGCAGACTTTTCTATCCAGGGCGTTAAGTTCAGTCTGAGTCCACCTGAGTATGCCAAAGGTATACATAAGGACAGGCATGACCCAACCGTTATATGCGTGTGTCTTATTCACACCGGACAAAAGGCTATTAAGCACTTTGGTCAAGCGTGCATAAAACACGTCGCAAACTGACTGTTTCACACCAGCCTCATCGATACCGATGTTCTGTGACATACCCAGGTATCGGTATGTTTCAGCCTCGGAAAGGGTCCTTAAGTTGACGGGCATAGATAAATCTATGCCCTCAGAGTTAGCAACCCTTCCCCTCTCAACATGGAGGACCGCACACTTATCCGTCCCCAGCTCCATTCCAATGGAACTGCTAAACTCACAAGTGATTTTTAGCAATTCCACAAGATGGGAGCGACTGGAGGCGAATAACTTAAGGTCATCCATATAGAAAAGGTGGGTCACTTTTGTCCCTCCTTTCCGTAGCTGAAATCCTCTCCCGGATCCCTCCAGTAAGGTACTGAGAGGGTTCAGGGAGAGGCAGAACCAGATTGGACTCAGACAATCGCCCTGGAAGATACCCCTTCTTATCCTTATGTGGTTCTCCGCAGCCATCATCCGCTCACCCAGATGACAAAGGATCGTACTCCACTGCCCCATACACAGCTCGAGGAAGTCTCTCACTGTACAGTCTATCTTGTACAGCTCGAGGACTCTCTTTAGCCATGTATGGGGCACCGAGTCGAATGCCTTTCTGTAGTCTATCCAGGCGGCGGAGAAGTTCCGACGGTTGCGTTTCACCACTTTGCCAATGACCGCGTCAATGAGGAGTGGTTCCTTAGTTCCACGACCACCGCCCCGACATCCATTTTGAGCGCGTGACATCACCTGATTTAGCTCCAGGTGACGAGTGATTCTCGCGCTCAAAATGGATGTCAGTGTCTTATATATGGTGGGTAGACACGTAATGGGGCGGTATTTGCTCGGGTCTGTGGTAACCTGGTCTTTAGGAACCAAATGAGTGATCCCAGTAGTGAAGAGGCTAGGGAGCGACTTCTGGTTGAGAGCCTCTTGAAACTGACGGGCGAGCACAGCGTGACACACCATGAACCCCTTCAGCCAGTAGTGATGCAGTCCGTCGAGTCCCGGACTTTTCCAGTTCGGGGCTCTACGGACCGCCTCAGCTACGTCATCCGGCGTTATGATGACGGGGTCCATGGGCGTAATACTCGCACACTGACTCGCCACAACTTCCGTCCAAGGGCCCTCGCTGTGGTTTACGGGCTCTGACCACAGGCCACGCCAAAATGCGACAGTGTTAGCCTGATCCGGTCCTGGGCCCGCTCCACATACCTCTGGTCGCTCCAATGATTTGTAGAGCCTCTTCTGATCACTCTGGAAGAGACGATTCTGGTTGAACCGCCTTGACCTCTCGGTAAATCGGCGAATCCGCTTCCCCCAAGCGGCAATCTTTTGCTTCAGGTCGTCTATGCGCTCCGTTAGTTTCTGCGTGATATCCGGCTGGGACAAACTGATATTTGTCCCAGCAAACGCCATTCTAACGGTGCGCACAACCCTCGGTCTATTATTACCCGACCTGAAGCTTATCAGTCTGCCGATAAGGGCCCTTGCCTTTGCGATACGGTCCTCAATTCTTTTTCTCCAGGCTGGGATGGCGCTACTTTGTTTAGTAGCACGTCCAGCCATGGGAAGTTTGGCGCCAATAATACGGCAAGCTGCCACTGCGGCGCCAAAAAGAACTGAGTCCGTCTCGCAAAGGTCCCGGCTGGCTTCCAAATAGGTTACCAGCATTGGGTTAAGAGCCCTCACGACAGCCCGATTTCGCTTGCTTAGGGGTATGCGGGGGAAGTCGCGGTCGATTTTCGAGAGGCATGCTGCGCGTTTCTAAAATCGCCTCTTCCAATATACTCCTCATTTGCTCTAGTTCGTGGGAGACCATTTCATCATCGTCTGAATCACCCACAACTGGAAGATCCATGGCGGCTTCTACTCGTGGCAGCTGGTCTGTCGCCTGAGGAGCCTCATCCCCAGCCGTAGCCAATTCATTCGATGAGGGAATGGCCTCACGTCACGTTACTATTATTATTATTATTATTATTATTATGAACAGAAATCTAAACCAGCTATCACAAATTATGTGTCACAATCTACTACACATTATTTTAATAAAAGTGATGATGTGGTGGCTTATGTTAAGAATGATATGGCTGTTAATGTTAAGGAAATTTTACTTCAAAATGCCACCCGTCTACAAATAGAAACAGTTATAATTTTCGCTATTTATAGATCACTTAACACAAATACTGGTATCTTTACAAGTTCACTAAATGGTCATTTGGAAATCTCTTAAGTAGGTATATGTAAAAATATCATTATCAGGTGATATAAATATTAATATTATCTCCAGAGACTCAGAAGACAGTTTGGAATGGAATAATAGGATTAAAATACCTGGATAGGCTAGTTATTCATAGTTTAATGATGGGACATTGTTTCTTTACTAGTGAAGATATTATACAGAATGGGTCCCACATATATGCAATAAATGAAACCACAAGTAATACTAGTCCGTAGAAGTGTAGAAAAATTAAATATTAAATTAAAACCCGTAAAATAAAAAAGTGAAATTTTCAAACAAAATAAATATTAAAATAAATTCAGTAAAAGTGAACACTCTGTTTAGACAACGTACCTTGACCCCTTGGAAGAGTGACAAAAGACACCGCTGTCGATATGTCGCAATACCAATAGTTTGCACTGCGTGGCAACGTCGCTTTTTAATGTTCAAGGATTCAAGTTCATTGAATCATTGACTTAGTGGCCCAATTCTATAGAGTGTTCAAATTTGCTTAAAATTAAAACTCTACTTTTTGATCTAATTACTGGACCGATTACGTTCATTTTTTGTATATCGTCAGCAAAGGCGATAACAAGTATATGGTTTCATTTATTGCATATATGTGGGACCCATTCTGTATATATTTGGATCATATCATGCTCGCACAATAAAGTAGTCCAAGTTGCAGTTTTGAACACGACAGTAACCAATCATATTATGGTATTGCTACACATAACTAATGTCAACCCAAATTAGTATGTCACAAAATTAAATTCGTTGTGGAATTCGAAGAAGCTTTAATCGATTTAGAAAATAAAAACATATATGAACTGCTCTTATGTAATGATCTGAATATATTACCCGAATTATTGTTAGGTAAATTAATGCATTTAAAAAAATATGATACTGCTTAATGTATTTAAATGTAAATGTGTAATTAAGCCTTGGATTACTTCAAATGTGCTATGTTGTATCAGGCACAGAAATAACCAACAGCAAAAGCTCTGTCAAAATCCCAGTATACTGAAATTATTGCAGAAATCTGGTTAGAAATTTAAATCAAAAGTATAAACAAAAGCTTTTGGAGGTCTCAGTGGGTGGTTCTAGGAATCTCTGGAAAAATGTTGCTAAAGTAACATATAGGAAGCACTCAAAAACGGATATTACAAAGTTTACTGCAAATTGGGCTTCACGAAGGAGATGCCATCGATCAAGTTAATAGCTACTTTAGTTGTAGCTTGGCCATGCAATTATCCAGCAAATAAGAGACAATATATATACAATTTTTATACAAATTCTCACACATCATCTTTTTTTCTCTCTTTTTGCTCTCTATGACACAGTACAGATATGGAAGAAGTACACTATATTCTAATGGCCTTAAAACCTAACAGTGTGTCAGGCTGGGATATCCTTCTAGATAGTTTCTTAAAACTTGCATGAGCAGAAATTGTGCCAGTTCTCTGTCATTTAGTCAATTTTTGTTTTCGCTAGGTTTATTTCGGTCTTAGGAGTCCCTAGTAACACCTGTTTACAAGAGTGGAGATGAGAAGGATATCAACAACTACAGACCAATTTCGGTATTGCCGGCAATCTCAAAAATTATAGAAAAACTTATCAACAAGGGGCTCATAAGTTTCCTCAATAAGTTTCACATCTTATCTAGTTTGGCTTTTAAGCAGGAAATTTAACAGAAGGCGCTGTAGAAGCCCTAACATCTGTAGTTGTTGATAATCTTGATAAAAATTCCAATTGCCTCGTGGTGTTTCTTGATCTTATAAAGGCATTTGACATCGTGTACCTCCATTTTGTGGCAGAAGTTAAAAAATTGTGGGATTCGAGATGTGCTCAACACACACTACATACACCATTTCTACTTTCAAAATTAAAAAAATATGTTGTTTACTTTCAGCGTTAAATTTAGTATATTATGCAGTTCTTGATTTAGTAAATTATTATGATTAGATTTAGACGCATTTCGCGTTCAAAAGAAGAAATACTTGTTTATGAATAAAACCTTCTTATTTATTTTTTATATTGGAGAATGTATTTTCTACTGCAAAGTTAAGTTTGTCATTCAATCCAATTTACTTGAGCAATGTTCTATATTTTATATATTACAGTAAGTGAAGTACTCATTTTTACAAAAATAATTATGAAACTGTTTATACTGTTATGTATTACTCTATTGTATATAAACAAAATATTATATATATTATCTATGGGTGATAAATATTATTAGTAAACTATTGTCAATTTACGGTATTTGGTATAATGGAAAAAAATGTCGAGTCTCGATTGTAATCAAACTACTAAACTACCTACATTTTTATTAAAATATATTGGTAACATTCTCTCACATCTGTTCGATTTTTGTTATTATTTGGAGAAGTTGTCAGAAAGATGGTGCTGCATCTGCGGGATGGTATGGGGTAGTATGGATTCTCCTACCCCACTACTACACTGGCTTCTCTTATTTAAAAAAGAGTTTGGTTTCAGTCAATACCAAAACCGCATGAGGCTAGAGATGAAATTCATTTCACACCAATTTATCATATAGATATCTGGCCAGTAGAGTGTGATATTGAAAATGATTGTAAGGACGACATTTTTAGCCTTGAATCTGTTAAAGTTGAGGAAGAGAAAATCAAAAATGAGAATTTCAAATTTGAAGTAAACTGGAGTCATGAAACAGGTAAGATATGTACACATTTTGTGATATTATTTAATTAAGGTACAATTTACCTAATGGCAAGTGGTTACTGTAGCCCATGGACACAAAATAAAGAGGACTTCATGTGCAACTACAAGAGGCTGCCCACAAGGAGGTGTTTTGTCACCCCTTCTTTGGACTCTTGCGGTTGACCAACTATTGTACAAAATGGCAGACCTACACATTGACACACTGGGTTATGCTGATGACCGTGTAATCATTGCGAGGGGCTTTTGCCAAAATACTTTATCGTCAATAATACAAAGAGCCCTAAACACCATAAATAACTCGTGTAGGGATAACAGTTTATCAGTTAATGCTGATAAAACTGTTATAATACACTTTACCAAAAAGAGACAACACAAAACTTAACGGTAAAGAAGTACCATTTTCCACGGAAGTTAAAAGTCGTGAGCAATTGAGGCTTGCGTCCATTGACTTATATATTACTAGCGTAAGGACCGGGCCAACCGAACAACTAAAACGGACCAGTGCGTTGGCCCTAAAATTACAGTTTAGTGCCAATGCGAATCGGTCGACAGTGGTGCGCGCGCAGGGCAGATTTGCCTGTCACAAATATGTCTAGTTGCGTGGTAAATAAATGAAAAATTACGGTACAAAGATTTAAAAAAAACATGGGATATCGTATCATCGGTAAATAACCTTATATTAATTTTGTTACAATTAAATTATTATACAAACGCATTTTTAAAGTTTTATTTTACAGTTAGTTTAGTTACGTTACCAAGATCAGGCCAGGGTTGGATTCATACCCTCAAAAATATTGTACATGGAAAATAAAATTACACTATTTAAAAAAAATTGTATCACGTTTGACGTTTCATGTTTCTTTTTTCGCATGTGCCGGGATTTCGGCGTCACGCGTCTAATTTATCTATACGAGTACGTTTCGGTTTTTGACGGTTTTATTTTTAATTCCGTTTAATTTTTGTCTAAAGAACTTGTAAGTTAAATATTTAATATTGGTACCTGATATATATTTATATTCATTAAGGGGAAAACGAAAAGAGTACAAAAGAAACCATATCTGCTTAATTGAATCTGAAAATCTGATTCATAAAATATTTTGAAATGCTGTTTTCTAACCGATTTCTTCTGAAGTACTTATAGAGTTTTTATCGTGGTAGCCCCTCGTTAGAGTTGTATCAAGTGGAGACGCCAGTAACTTAAGGTATCTTCGTTAAGTATTTAGTGGACTGTAATTTTTGGTGCATACGACAAAGGGGTTAATAAGTAGGTGGGATAGCACGCACTGACCTGATGAGGGCTGCCTCGCCTTCCTCCTGGAGTGTCTGCTATACAGCGGGCTTGCCACGTGGTTCGGCGCATACGCACTCTCGGAACAGTTTCGTGGAGTCCCACACTTTCGACCTTTGCACTTACGGGGGCGTCTCACACTTTTATAAGTTACAAAGACACAATGTCTGATGTGGTGAATATTAAACATAAACAGGAGAACTCAATGTTCGTCCTACACGGTTTGCGGTTAATATATCTAAGACGCGACGGCTAGCCGTGCGTTGCGGAGAACGTAATGTCACTTAATAACGCGCGCCGAGATCCTTTTCTTCACCTCGGCAGCAGCGCGTGCGATAGGAAAAGGAAAGGGGAGGGGTCAAATATGCACTAGTCATTTCATTATGTTGATAAAGTAGATATAACTTAGGACGAACTCAATGCGATATGTAATGTAATGTTGAGAAGATTGTTAACTGGCGTTACCATTTCATCCCGCCCTTAAAGGCTCACCTTTAAAAGACAACCGTAATGTAAAAAGAAAAAGAAACAAATAAATAAGCGGTATATAAAGTGAGAGGATGCGCTGGATGCGCATGTCTCATCTACTGACCTTACTTGGTAAGCGAGAAAATGTATACATAAATATAATATTGCGGTTTAACAAACTTAATTCCTAATTTAGATAAATAATTACAATTAAAATAATCGTGATTTATTGTCTTGGGAGAGGGCGGATACGAACAACAGGACGGTGGTATGTTCCCTTAGTAGTTCTCACGGTCACTACTCGAACTACGCCATCCTTCGAAGGATGAACAGACTCGACAATCGCTAATGGCCAAGCAAGGGGCGGTTCATTATCATTTATCACAATTACAACCGTGCCTGGTACGATAGCCGTACACGGGGTGTTCCACTTCTGACGAACTTGTAATCCGTGAAGGTATTCCGTCCTCCACCGATCCCAAAACGACTGAACTAATTTATCCAGTAAAGAATGCCTGTGTAACAGACTGGTAGAGTCAGATTTGACTTCGGGTGCGGGTAATGACAATAAAGGTGCGGTATTCAAAAAATGACTCGGAGTAAGAGCTGAAGGCTCTGCGGGATCAGAACTTAATACTGTCAAGGGCCGCGAGTTTAGCAAGCACTCAATTTGCGCAAGAACAGTATTAAGCTCTTCGTATGAAAGTAATTGATGTCCGATAACTCGGAACAGATGCGTTTTTACGACCTTGACCATGCTCTCCCAGGCGCCTCCAAAATGAGGAGAGTTGGGACAGATGAACTTCCATGTTATACGATTCTCAGCACACTCTTGCTCAAGCTTTGGGCGGTATTCAACGTTTAGAAATTTATAGAGATCGGGAAGGTACGAAGCGGCACCTTTAAAATTCGTTCCATTATCCGAATATAAAAACTGAATCGGTCCTCGTCTAGAGAGGAAACGTTTAAGCGCGGCGAGGAAACTAGAACTACTAAGATCTGTAGTGATTTCTATATGCACAGCTCGAGTCGTGAGGAAATACGACAATCAATCAAACCATTCTCAATAAAAGACCTTAAACGATAGAAAGCGTGTGAGCAAGGTTCTTTACCTTCAATATTTAAATATTCCACTGCAAAATGCTGTTTTTGCAGGGCGCGGAGCATTATAACCTCAGAGAAACTGAGATCATCAGCAGTCACTACAGTAGTGCTGCGGCGGGGCAATAATTTAGCAAACTTACACACGTACGCAATTGTACGTAGAAGTTTACTCCAAGAAGAGACGCGGAGTGCGAGCTCATAAATCGCAGAATTACAGACGGATGTGCACACAGCGTGTGACAAAATCTTCTTCTCAGGCATGTCTGCAATAACCTCATTGTCTAAAGTACGAAGAGGCCATTGAGATGGATCTAATGGGGTCCACTGAGGCCCATGGAGCCACAGGGGGTTTGAAACTAATTTATTTGGCGTAACGCCACATGAAAGTATGTCAGCGGGATTCTCAGTACCTGCGACATTATAAAAGTTATCAGCGCGAATATTGTCGGTAATCTGAACAACGCGGTTTGCAACGAAGGTCTGCCACTTGTGTGGCGAACTCTTTATCCAGTACAGAGCTACTTTTGAATCTACAAAGGCATAGATTGATATTGCAAGGTTAATAGAATAATTGTCGAGTACTCTGCGAAGCAACGAGAGTTTTGAGAGTAAAACCGCTCCACAAAGCTCAAGGCGTGCAATAGATAGTGGTTTTGTCGGTGCGATTTTAGTCTTTGCACAAATCAACTGGACGATGTTACTATTGACGCTCTTTACGTGTATGTAAACTACGGCACCGTATGCGTGCTCGCTGGCGTCGGAAAACCCCACGAGTGACGCAGTACAGTTTTTGGATAGACCAACATGTCGCGGGATACGTAAATCTTTAAGAGCTGGTAATTCAGCACGGAATTGCCTCCACATCTTAATAATTGGCGGTGGTGGTATCTCGTCCCAATCTAAATTAAGTTGCCAAAGCTGCTTTATTAACAATGTGGCGTACGCGACTAGGGGAGTAACGAAACCCATTATGTCCCACAGGCGGGCGACAGTAGATAAGATGGCGCGCTTAGTGCACGTCACATCAGCGGGAACAGATATCTTAAAATAAAAGGCGTCACTATCGGTAGACCAATGCAAGCCTAGTATTTTATGTGGCATTGATTTATCGAACTCTACTTCTCCTGTAATTTTATGGGAAGTAGGGAGGTCATCTAAAACAGATCGACGGTTGCTATGCCATTTTGTCAGGTCCCATTGGGCACCCTTGAATAAGTCTATCAGCTGCCGAGAGGTCTCACTGGCCTCGGATTCACTGGGCATAGAGAACGCGATGTCGTCCATATATAGCGAAGTAGACGCGATACGACTCGCAAGTGGATACTTTGCGCCGTCGTCATCATCAATGAGCTGTCTTACCGTGCGCAATGCATGGTATGGACTCGAAGTTACACCGAAGCACACGCGATTGAAGTGGTACAACACAAGTGGGTCTTGTGGACGGAAGCGGTATAGGAAGCATTGGTAACGACGATCAGAATCGCGAACAACTATTTGCAGGAATTGTTGGCGACAGTCGGCTGTCATAGCGATTGGATGTAAGCGGAAAGTTAAAAAATTATATTGAACAAGTCGCCTTGCAAATTTGGTCCTGAATGCAGGATATCATTTAATGCTCGCCCAGTGCTAGTCTTACTGCTAGCGTCCAGGACGATGCGCAGACGTGTTGACGTCTTATCTTCGCGTAAGACTCCATGATGCGGTATGACATATATTGGGGCAGGTTCATGAGAGTCATACGGCGGTGCGGGGGATATATAATTTTTAGCTAAGTATTCCTTTATGACGTCATCATATGTTAACTTTCATGTAGGCGAGGCGTGAAGTTTCCTCTCCAAGCACATGAATCGTCGTCGAGAGGTTTAGTAAGAATCTCCGAGAGAGTAAACGTCATCTTTAAATGGCAAGCCGACAATGTATCTACCAGTAAAAGGATCGCGGGATGTCGTAGACTTATAAAACTCTTCACATTCAATGTCTGAAGGACACTGAATGGGCGGTGCGGAGGGTGGCTGTTCAAGCTCTCAAAATCGTTGCACTAATTTGTCAACGGTAGGTGACTCTAGAACTGAGCAGCACGTTAAGGAATGATTTACCTGAAGTGTCGGCACTGAGCCCATAATAACGTAACT